ATTCTTGGATCGATTCAAAAGACGTGCTGGTCTGTATCCTGCCGTTTTGTGACTATATATATCCACTCTGAGGCTCTCCAGGGAGACCGGCTTCTGAATGGGTCATTATCAGTTGCATTTTCAGCGCACTCTGTTTTGAGCTCACCGTTGTGTTTTCCTCCTTCTGCATCCGTGGCCACATATACAGAGCAGCCGTCCATCCCACCTGAGGAAGCCCCTTTAATGGGAGCGAAACGCGTAGAGGAGCAGCTACCTCGTGACGATACTCGGACCTCAATCTACAACAAACTACACATGCATCTAAGTAGACATTTACGCTATAAATAGGTCGGTATCTAAGTCCTAGGTAGTTCATTGTGGATGTCAACAGGGATTCTCAGAGTATAAAGATAAACATTGTTATGTATTTTAAACATGATTTTGCTACACATGTTTTTAATGATTAAATTAATTATGAAAAAAACTATATTTTTATCTAATAGAACCACAAGTGGCCCGTTGTTTCTTTGTAAATATTATGTATTTTTTATATGTGTATTTAGCCTTTTGCCTGTTTTTGCCCAGCTGACAGTCTCTTCCATATCCCAGGGACTCTCTGGGTTCTGCACACCTGCTCTGTCCATTATGAGGAGCTCTCACCATCCCCGCACTGAGTTCCTGAGTCTGTACACCTGCTATGCCCATTATGAGGGGCTCCAACCATCCCCACACTGAGTTCCTGGGTCTGTACACCTGCTCTGTCCATTATGAGGGACTCCCACCATCCCTGCACTGAGTTCCTGGGTCTCTACACCTGCTGTGCCCATTATGAAGAGGATCCCACCATCCCCTCTTGATTTTTATTTTATAACATGGAGAATGTCACAGGAGTTCCCAGATCCGAGCATCTGCTGTGCCCATTAAGAGGGACTCCCACCATCCCTGCACTGAGTTCCCGAGTCTCTACACCTGCTGTGCCCATTATGAGGGGCTCTCACCAATCCCTGCACCGAGTTCCCGAATCTGAGCATCTGCTGTGCCCATCATGAGGGGCTCCCACCAACCCTGCTGGATTTGAAAGAATGTTATAATATGGAGAATGTAATAGGAGGAGCTGGAACAAAGCTGGGCTGAAAGTTCTGAAACACCCCAAATTTCCCGGTGAACAGGAGCAAAGCCGGAAATTAGGGCACGGAGATCACACTTCCCAAGACATATTAACATTTAGAGTTACACCCGAATATGCAACCATACAAAATCCTTCACTCATCCAGAATCCATTATCCCCTAACAAAAATGACATGCAGACGTTTAACCTAACCGGACCGGCCGCATTGCCCGAAATAAGACAGGCTACAAATTCCAGCTCCAAACACAAAGGCCCATGGTTCCAGGGAACATCATAATACTCCCTGAAAGGAGGAATGGACCCTAATTATTCATGTAATTGCTGAAGCTTAGTCAGCAAGCCAAAATAAACTCTGCAGAGGAACTAGAAGCCCAAAAAGGTCCTCAGACTTCCTCACAGATCCTGCAGACACCACTGATTTTTTTTTGTAGCATAATATGTGTTATCTGTACAATCAGCAGGGTCCTTTACTGAAAAACTACTGCAACAATTTGACTATTCACTCATCTGCTTTTAAAGGAGAACTATGAGGTGGGTGCTTTTTACTCACCTCATAGTTCTAGCCGACCTGTGACAATGAGACTGTCACAGGTCGGCTTAGTAGATCGGGAGGTGAGCGAACACATACCAGCGCTCGCTCCCCTCTCGATCCTGTCACAGCTCTCTGCCGTGACAGGGGAGGGGCTGGATTCCCCCCTCCCCGCTCCGATCTGCCAGGGTTGACTGAGCCAGCTGTCAGTCACGCAGCTGGGCGGATCCAGACATAATTGTCGGGATCCGCTTCAGCTGCGGCATCTAAGTATACCGCGAGCAGCAGCTGCGGTGTCTCAGTATACCGTGAACTACAGCTCGCGGTATACTGAGCCTAGGGTGACGGGAGGATGCTAGTTTGTGTCCTCCCGTTACTCTAAGGAGAACTATGGGGAAAAGCCTTAACCCCATAGTTCTCCTTTAAAGAGATGTTGCTACCTCGCCCAGGACAAAGTATGATACTTAGGGTTACCTAAACGTTAAAAGAAGTTAAATCGTTTAAATACAACTGGTATCAGTAATAAATAAGTAATCTTTATTAAAAACTGAGGATGCTTTAGCAGATATTATGTGCAGATTTTAGGAATGAGTTGCACAGAAAATCCTGGCTTTTAAAGTGACAGTTGGCCCGAGGCGAGAGAGGAAGCGCTTCCTGTCCAGTACAAGATCACAAGGGACACAGCAGTCTCCAGCAGCTGCCCATCTACTAGCTTGACTTGACATCCCTGTGTATTGGTGGAGACACACACACCTTACTAGCACACACAAGGGTGGCACCATGGAACCCTGCAACAAAAAGGAGCCACCCTAAAACAGGATATCAGGGCCGGTGCTCAGGGGACCCGCTGATTCTGTAGGAAACTAAAACTTATAAACGTCAAAGAGCAGCATCCATTGTATGTGATTTCATCAGCATTTGAAAGAGCTTAACAACATTTTAACTTTAATATCTCTGGGAGAAAATGGGAGAAAATGATCACCAACATAATGTGAATTTCCGTCTTCTACAGTTGTCACTGGAACATTTAGCCCCATTGCAAGATTTCCCCTCACTTCTTCCTCTTGGGATAACTGTAAAATTTAGGCTTTCCCATATGTTTTTATTTTGGAGACAATGGTCACCAGATCGAGTAGAGCACCCATGTTGCAAAAAAAAGCATTTACTCATTTTTTATTGCCTGCAAAACATTGCAACCACAGTCAGTGGATCGCAAGTGGAATGCGCAGGTTCCTGCAGACTATTCCCCCAGCCCAAGGTCTGTACGGTGGTACAGACCTTTGGTTATGGAGACGGAAGAAGTAATCAATGGGCTACAAGGCAATTGTGGTGCCTTCTCCGTGCTTGTGCTCCATAGTTTTTTCCCTCGCAGATCCTGTAAATGGATCAGTAAAAGGAGGATACAGCTCTTCAGGCTCCTCCTACACAGTTGTTCTGAATTAAAAAAAATATATAGAAGGTTGTGGATAGGGATGTTCAGATACCAGTGCCGATACTTGGCATTTTCACGAGAACTACCAGGGTTGCAGCGGTTGCAGCTGGGACCTGGCTCTAGCGCTCCACCACTGTCCTGAAATCATTAGTCTGTATTGTTTTACAAAAATGGTCACATGACAATAAACAAAAATGTATTAGTACTTGTATCTGTGAGGACTTGGAGGGCCTGTTCACATGAGATCAGGTCCTGATCAGCAGACGTGGAGCTGCTGATGCATTGCGTTTTTGGCTGCGTTTTGGCTGCGTTCCAGCAAAAAAAAATCTTTTTTTTTTGCTGGAGTGGGGCTGTGTTAGTATGTTAGCTGCAGCGCAGTGCGTTTTTGATGCGTTTTGGACGCGTTTGCGTATCCGTTCCGTTTCCGGACCTAACAAAATGTGACATGCAGTATTTTTTCTGTCGTAAGCTGAACGGACTGCACACGTGAGAACTGGAGCCCATAAAACACATACGGATACATTGGGATGCATTTTGAGTGCAGCAGCGTACGGAGCCGGTCAGCACACAAAACGGACGTCGTGTGAACAGGCCCGGACAAGTATCAAAACTTGGAAAAATGGTATCGGTATTTATTTTAAAAAAACAACCAAAATTATACATTAAAACAGAGATGTACAAATCCCGGGAGCTCCGTGTGCTCCTTACGAATGACAGCTGCCTCCTAACTTTTGAGTTTTTGTCTAGTCTAGTCTTGGAGCTGGAAAATTATCTGGACTTGTACAGAGTATTGTACTTGGTATCTGAACATCTATAGTTGTGGGGATTCCAAACCTGCAATTTTGGGGGAGCTGCGGTATGGCACCATGTTACCTTCTCACTGTCTCCTTGGAGGCCCAGCGACCTGTTGGCCATTTGGCTAAATCTTCACATTCGCTGTGTCAGCTGGTCCCCTCAAACCTACCATGATGCCTTGTTGGTCTAAATGTTCCTGTGTAGACCTATAGAATGCTCTTGTTTTTATTATGCTACCCGTACTCAGGGCCGGATTTCCTACAAGGCCCCTGAGGCACGGCCTCGGGGCGGCAGGGGTGTAGAAGCTCCTGAGGGCCGGAACATGCAGTTCCAGGCGATGGGTGGGTAGCTGTTTACTACATTTGGGCAAGCAGGGCTAAATGTGGAGGGGGTAAGCAATAAAGTAAGAAAAAACTAAATTATAAAAAATAAATAAAATGTTAAAAAAAACCTACAAAATAATAGGAAATAATAATTAAAATAAAAAATAAAAAGGTGGTTAAAAAGTAAAAAAATAAGATTAAAAAATATATAAAACGTAAAAGATGACAAGATAACATAACATTGAAAAGTAAAAAAATAAATAAAAATGTAAAATTGATTTAAAAAAATAAAAATGAATGCTAACCCTGCTGCCCCCGCCATCTGGTTGACATTCGCCATGGGGTGGAGAGGGGGGCGCATTGAGGAACTTGGCCTTGGGACAGCAGAGAGAGTGAATCCGGCCCGGCCCCTACTTCATTGTATCTGCCTTGTTTATTACTGTGTTAACTAGTTTTGTACTCTTTTTTTTGTATTGATATACGTGAATAAATAAAATAATTCATACAAATAAATATGTCTGTAACATAAAACATGGTAGGAAACGTTAGATATCAAATGATACATATTCCATAGTGAGATGTACAAACTCTGCTATCGATACATAAAAGGTCCCATTTTTTTGGAATAACACAGTTCTTTATGATAACAAGGATGCTGCCATCACTCATCAACCTTTAATAATATTGGGAGTAATCCATGAAATGAGCCAATGTAGGCAATTTCTGATGCAAGTGTCATCCACCAGATTTACAACCAAAGTACACAGACTTAATGAAAGGTTTAGTGTCACCAACTCCCTCGTCCCCTCTCACCTCCGCTCTCTTCAGCATTTCCCATTTGTTCAGGATCTTCATGGCAAACACCTTGTCCGTATGCTTCAACTTCACCACTGCAACCTGCCAGACACAGACAAAGGATTAATGGGAAACATTGGATTCATTTCGGAGTCAATATTTTTTCTTGAAAGCTTTGACAAGGTACAGATTTACAATTTGTGATACAGAAGGCAATGTTCAACTCTATAATAGCTGGTAACCTTATGTCCAAGTTGACCGTTGGAGAGAAGTAAATAAAAAACAAAAAAAAAGACATTTGCCTCACGTCAGTGAAGCATTTGCTCGTGGTGGGCCACAGTAGTTCATCTGTGTGGCCATATATAGGGGAAGGGAAGGAGATTGGGGTAAAGCCATTTTCTGGCTGGAGGATATCCCGCATCATCTACCACTTTCCTCCCCAGCCTGAGTGTCCTCAGCCCATCCCTTTCTTTCATTGGATTTCACTTCACTCAATCATGGAGACTCAGTATCACACGTGGCCATTATCTAGCGTAGTGTGCATGCAACTGCAGTCTGTCTAGGAACTCCGACTCCTCCAAACTGACATCCGCCCATCAATAAATTTAGATTTTTGCATAACTCCTCTCAAGAGGTAGCTTGCATTAGGGTTGAGAGCTCGAGAGGAGTACTGAACCAGTCCCTCCAACCAGCCATAATCTGCCGGCATTGCATACAGCAGCAGGCAGACCCATTCAAGACGCCCCTGGGTCTCAAATGCGGTAGGTAATGAAAACAGAAATGTCATTAGTTTGTAGATGAAGGAGGGAAAAGAAAGAACCAGAGAAGGCAAAATATAAGCAGCAGCATAAACTTCAGCTTTAACAATAGGACAAAGCAGCTTGAATAATGAAGGGCCGAACTTCAAGGAATATAGTAGTTGGTCAGCTTGGGACAACCTTGTAAAGGACAGATTGGGAGCAGTTTAGCATGACACAGGTTGACTCACAGCTTTCACTTCATTTCATAAACTGCTCATTATTCTACCTCCGGACACGGCCCTGTAGAGTTATTTTGTGGCTGCCGGTTTCCTTGGGAGTCTGGTTCACATTTTTATTGTGGTCCAGCCTACATGTATTTAAAACATTCCACAGAAAAGATCCTGCAACAGCAATGGCCTACAACTCATGAAGGACTTTATTTCTGGAAAAACATCTCAAGACCCTTTCCTGTTTCACTTCTGCTTAGCTACGTGTAAAATGGATGTATATTCAGTTTAACGCACTCATAATGGAGGCCATTACTGACCCTCAGCTGTAGGGTAGGAGCAGAGCTGGACATTTCATGGCCCATCTGGCCCTGATTTGCAGTTTGTCTGGCCCACCGACCTGCACTCCATTATGGCTGGCCTCCAAGGCTGCTGCTTCCATTCTAAGTCATAGCCCAATGCAGGCTGGCGATTGGTCCGTATCTGAGATGCATTTCTCTTTGGTCCTTGGTTGCTAGGACCGTTGGTATTTTAGCAACCAATGACATTAGGGGTCCTCCTCTGTGGTCATTGGTTGCCGGGGCTGCTAGGTAGATCTAGCAATCAATGACATCAGGGGTCCTAGTCCTTCCATCACCTCTCGTGAAGCTCCCACCCATGCCCTTCTTTTTAAAAAAAAAAAAACCCTCTAAACAGACTTTTAACAGTCAAATTGCAAGCTCATGCTCTGTGAAGTCAGATGCTCATGTGTAGTTTGAAGTCACAGCCAGATGATTCAGCCAGCCGCTCGTATACTGTTTGAAGTTCCCCCCCCCCCAGCAACTAATGCACGTTACTGTGCAATGCACCTACGGTGCGTTATAGTGCAGCAGGTGATTTGCATGCACTCCTTTTTTGAACCGCAAGGCACAGTACTATGGTACCGCACGTTGCAGTGCAGTTGATCCCATTTTGGCTCTACATAGACTTTAACTTGCTACTAGTGCTGCCCTCAGTACCCCTAAGTGTACTTATACCAGCTGCATTTTAAAATAAATGTAATGATTTTGATGAGCAAGTGACTACAAAAAACATTTTGCCATCTGCTGGGAATTCCATTATAGTAGTAAAATCTCCCATGATCCTGATTGGCGCTGATGGTAGACAGAGTCAAAAGCAAGGAAATTATACACTCTCAAAATTGCAAGCAGATAATCCTTAATGAGCATGAGAAACTGGGAAGCAGATCTGGAAGAGGCGATTGTAACAAATATAGTACGTATAATTGCATGTTGGTGTTCCCTCCGTCATCACGTCTGGAAGGGGCTCTGCTCATCCACAGACTGCCGCCCATGCCAGAGGAATGTGGGAAATCACCAGTGGCGGGCCCGGGATCCATGCACTGACTGTGTCGCTGTTCTGCAGAGCTGGGATAATACAAAACAGCCGATGCACTACGATACACTGCTTACATGGAAATGACACGCCAATTACAGACATGAGAGGGTGCACAAAGCAGATCAGCTGAGCTGGCAAACTAATAAAACTTGCGGTTATTAGTCACCATTTACTAACTGAACACCCAAAGCTCTGCACTCTTCCCAGCCCATCATCATCCCAGCTGTCACTCTTTCCTTAAATGAGCTGAATACATTTTAAGGGCCTATTCACACCAGGGCGAAGCTTTTCAGCGCGGCTTCCGTATGATTTTTGAAAGGTCTGTGTAGGTTCTCATTCCTCCAGGTCAGGGTATATCTGTAAAAAAAAAGTCAAGGCAACTGGACTTGCTGTATTTTCCTTGAAGACGTCTCACTGGACATCCGACCAGCGTTCTCAATTCAGAAATTTTTGTACACGTCAATCTGAATTGAGAAAGCTGGTCGGATGACCAGTGAAATGTCTTCAAGTAAAATACAGCAAGTTCAGTTGCCTTGACTTTTTTTTTTACAGATAGATTTTTGAAAGTGTGTTTTTAATCGCGTTTCAGTGCTGAGACGCAATAAAAAAAAAAAAAAAAACACTCTGATCAGCGAGTTTCCATTGAAATCTATATGGAAAACGTGCTGATGAGCACGAAAAAATAGCTCAGGGAGCATTTTGGGAGGCAGGTGGTTTGGATTGCGCGGTGCCACGTGATTGCATGAACGGTCCCCATAGGAATGTATTGGATCGTTCATGTTGGTGGTTCAGCTCGGACAAATCCACGTGACCGAAAAGCCCTGGTGTGAAGGGAACCTTAGAGGAGCAAAACAAAAGATGACCTAAGTCATCTGATGACCTAAGTTCATTTTCTTTGAAAAGCAGTCACAGCTTTTAGGCCTGTCCCCTGCCAGCATGCTGCAGACAAAGTCTTGCTTTCTGTGTAGAATCAGTAGTCACTCTGCAGTGGTTGGACACGTCCTCCCGTCATGTCAGAGCTAGAACTCAAGGAAGCATGAGCTTTGCTGAATGGACAACTATAGCTTTGATTCGGCTGGGGAAATGCTAGATCTCTGCAGGTGAGACCATTGTTTCCACACAGAGCGCAAAGGTCCTTCTCTGCAGTATGCTGGTAGGGGTCATGCTTTTCTACTCAGGCTGTGGCTGCTGTAAAAAGAAAAACACACTGTTAGGCTTTGCACACTGTTAGGCTCTGCATACCTTTGTTGTTTTGATTAATCTAGAATGTATTTAGCCGTTTTAAACTGAACATTTATCTGGGATTTGGACAATTGTCTACCAGCGCTGTTTATAAATGGTGGCTGCCAGCAAAGGTTTTTAAACACTCCTGGCTGCTATAGTGGCCCAATCACTTCCACCCTGCCCCAACTTCCACTGACATGTATCTTCAATTCTGCTCTCCATTCTGTAGGCCCAGAACAGTCAGGGTGGGTATAGCAGAGTGAGGCCAGTGAACATCCATTTCACTCCTCTCCCCTCCAGTGAAGGATCCCGGAAGCAACAAGGCTTTCGTCACTTCCAGGTACGGAACTGTCATTCAATTTCACTCATCTCCCCTCCAGTGAATGAACCCGGAAGCAACAAGGCTTTCGTTAATTCCGGGTACGGAGCTCTCATTCAGTCTGTGCTTTATCAGCTTCCGTGGGGTCCACAGGTGACATTAGGGGTCTATCTGACCACTGATATCTCCCAAAAGAGGAGCTGTCAGTGTCTATGCTATCACATAGGGGGCTATCAAATAAAAGTAAGGTAAAAATTTAAAAAAAATTTAATTTTTTTTTTTATTTGACCAAAAACTATAATGTGTACACTAAAATTAACTTTAGTATATGGTTCACTGAAACTCTGGGTTTGCTAAACAGTTTTGCGAAGATTGTGCAACATACAAAATTACAACTACTAACATTTTAATCAGCGGGGTCTCTTTTAGAAAATATAGAACATTTGGGATTTTTAACTTCAGGCCTAAAATGTGCATTTAACCATGTATGAAAAAATGGGGGGAAAAATGCCTCAGGGAGTGAAATGGTTAAATAACATAAAAGGCCTTTACAGGAGTCAGAGACCATTTCCATTCAGATGTCTATAGAACATTAACATGAACCTGTACTTTGCCCCTGATCCCCCACAATGCACTCTTGAATAAATTATCCCTCTATAGACGGAGCAATACAATCTGTGACTCTGCTAATGGATTGCTAAAATAAGACCAATCAGCCACAAAGAGAGTATGCCATTGTTAATAAGTCTGAACTGGTCAATACACTTACACAGAAAAAGAACAGTGGGGGCCTATTCACAGTAGCACGCATGTTAAGATTCAACGCATTAGCACAGTTTATTCATTCCGGAAGTGCTGCATACTCTAATAGGCATGATCTTTTTTTTTAAATGTAACATATAACAATATGTATGTTGTAGTGCACTACAGCTTGGATGCATTACCAGCACCAAAGTTCTAAATGAATGTTTGCTACGCACCGCAGATCATGTGTTGGGGTAACATACGTGTTACTGTAACACAAAGATCTAAATGGGCCCTTGAACACAATCACTGTACAGCAGTGAAGGAGATCCTACATATGGTATATAATGATGAGCATATGGCCACTTCCTATATTTACCTGCTCAGCGGGCCTCGCACTGCAAACACAACAGCAAGCTTGCCGACACAAGGAGGGAGCAAAATGATGACTTAATGGGTGCGGTGATGCTCCTTCAATGTCCAATCACTAGGCTGGGGGGCAGGTCAATAACCAGGGTATGTTGCTCATCTTCTGCCCTTGAAAGTCAGGTCACCTAGGCTGGCTATGCTGTCTAGCCGGTGTGCTCAGTTTAGGACAAAAAAGTAAGATAAGAAGCTAGAGCACTTTAGTGGAGTCACCTCTGGGTACATAGTGCACCGCAATTCTGTGAATGACAATGCTGGCTCAAAAAACTTTTAGCATCTTTGGCCAGCCAAAGACAGTTCACATATACAGGTATATTAACTGTGCATCCTGTTTGCCTGGAGTTCAGCATTAAAAACAAGTCAACAGAGGCAGTTTTCAGCTTCTAAACCAGGGGTGGGGAACCTGCGGCCCTCTAGCTGTGGTGAAACTACAAATCCCATGCTGCCTGTCTCTGGGAACCATGCCTGTGGCTTTGAGAATATTGCAATGCCTCATGGGATTTGTAGTTTCACCACAGCTGGAGAGCCGGTGTTCCCCACCCAGGTAAAACTGATAGGTTTCCTTTAAAAGTTAAGTCGTTTTAAGACTCTTGAAACAATCCCCCACCCATTGATACTCACCTGTGCCGTGCTGTCCCATTGCTCCATTGGGTATGGGGGGAGCATGAGCCCCCTTCATCCCAGTATAGAGAAGGTAGTCACCTGTAGTGATGGGCTCGGGCGTGTTCGCAGCTCCACGTGCCGAGCCCCCCAGGAAGCTGACAGCGCTGCAGCGCCAATCACAGGTACTGAGACATTATCCCGGTCCACAGCTGCAGAGATCGTGAAATGTCTCCGTGCCTGTGATTGGCGCTGCTGCGCTGTCAGCTTCCTGGCGGGCTCGGCACGTGGAGCTGCGAACACGCCCGAGCCCATCACTAGTCACCTGCACACCAATATTTTATTTGACCTCAGATATACATGGTATCATGTGTGAAAGCAACATTTCGGAACCTTTAATGGTCCCTTCATCCGGCAAAGACATAGTGACTTTTGCAATTGTGGACTCCTTCATCCCCTGGCCCAAATAAGGCGACATAATTGAGGCACCGACACAGAACTTACACAAGCGCACAGCATACAAAGTATTTGACTCCTGTCCTTTCAGGAAAGCCATGGCTGGGTAAAGTGATGAAGAAGAGGAATGTACAGTACAGAAAATAAAGCTGACCATACACTGCTCGGATTTTTAAGGCCAGATTTAAAGTCAAATCCTTGCACGTGGTTGACAGTTGGAAGCATGCAGACACCATCCTACTGAAAGGCTGAGGTTTCTTCCAAAATGGTAGTTGGGTTATGTTATGTGACCAAATCAGATGCCAATGGTGGAGCCCTTCTGTAACAATGAGCCAATTTGCAGAGTATCAGACTTTGTAGAACTCACCTCACCAAATGCTCCTCTTCCAATCACTTTCAAGATTTCAAAGTCTTCTTTATGTAGCCGTAGTTGCTTCACTTTATGGGCAAATGGTTTGGCTGGAAAAAAAGAAAAGAAAAGAAAAGAAAAAAAAATTAGACTTTTATTAGACCGCTATAATGGGTGCAGGTTGCTATACATGAAGGCATGAGATGACCATCAGCCCAGTCTAAAAGTAGTGGATCTTATGGGGGGACCCCACACAAAAACAGTCCTCCCTTCAAATCAGAACCCCCCTTTCACATTCGAGTCCTCCTTTACATCAATAGCCTTCCTTTACATTAAATGTTTTCTCTTTTCACATCAGGATGCCCCTTCACATCAGAGCCCCTCCCTTCACATCAGAGCCCCCTCCCTTCACATCAGAGTCCTGCAATCCTAAAACTTCAAGGCACCCCCAAAGTAGTCAGAAGCCACCCCAGTGTGCCACGGCACCCTAGTTGGGAAAGGCTGCCCTATGGCAAGCCTCAAATCATGATGCCACCAAACCTCAATGGACAAACTGTGAAGGTGCCTCTGGACCAGCGGTTGTCAACTTGTGAGGTATAGGGGTTGATTTACTAACCTTATAAACACACCACGAACGTGTATACACCTCTGCAGTGTGTTCCCTCCCAGCATGATCTATGGGTGGAATCTAAACACCTTTGTAATGTGTACACACCCAGCAGGTGTGTTGTGCAAAGCCCTGAATGAATTCCAAGGTGATGTTGGGTAAATTAGCTCTATGTTGTGTTGCTTGCGTTGATGAATGCAGGAATGTAAATGCATGAGCTAACCATTTTTGTCTAAACTGTGAAGCAGCATTATATATGCATCATGTGCATGATTTTTCCATATATGGCATTAGTGGAAATATGCTTTTAGAAACTTTTTGGTTGATAAATACGTTTTGCTGTGTGAAAATCACACACACCTGGTGTGTGTGTGTGTTTAGGTTAGTAAATCACCCCCATAGTCTCAACTGCGGCCCTTGACATCAGTATATGTGATGATAAACAGGACTGTCATAGACTACAACTATACTCTAAGAAATTTATGTCAGAGACTGTGGACATGCATCAGGTTTGCATGCTGTAGAAGACAATAAAAGACTAGGGACATGTTATGTGAGGTTAGTGAAGACCACTGATACACACCTTTATGAATCAATACTCCTTCTACCAACAACAGACTCCTGGGGTCCAAGGGCCCACCACAAGGAGCAAAGTGCTTGTTGTCCCACAGGCAGGGCACGACGGCTCTAGGCAATAGACGACAAGCAAAAAAATTGCTAGGAGGTAGTGGGATTTTTTTGGCAAAATGGAGTTTGCATTTTTTTTCTTCCAAAGCCTCTCTGCTTTTGCATGTAGCAATGTCTTTCTTGTGTATACTGCCTTTGGCACATGTTCATTGCAGTGTACAGTCCTGGCCCATTCTCGGCTCTGTAAGATGCAGAGAATGTAGCCGGGTGTGGAAACACTGCAAATGTTTTGACTCATCAGTGCTGGCCCAATGGCTGAAGAGGAAGGATGCAGAACCCGGAATAAGCAGCAGAAAAGATGGTGAAAGTGACAGTGAGCCTGGAGAAGAGCAGACAAGTCTGCCATAATGTACATGCATGCTGTGCATACTTGATTATGTCAAGAGAGCCCCTGTTCTGTCGAAATAACCAACTAGTTGAGATCTGCAACTGCGTCACTTCCGGTTGTGTGCATGTGCACGCACGATCCATTTCACCCATTCCCCTAACATCCTGTATATTCCACCTAATAGTCAGAACCCATGACCAGCATGAAGCGAAATAAAGCCACTGTATTAGTTTTATACCAGCACATGCGCACTGGCAGCAGCTGGACAACTCATCACGTATTTTTATGGGCTTTTTGTTATGCAGCCAGGTGTGCACGCGCAATTACACTGCCGCCAACTTATCGAAATCTCCTGCTGGCAAGTCACCTCACATGCAATCTGCAAACAATGAAGGAGCAGGCACACTGATCAGTCTTTAACTTTGCTCCTTCATATTCTTTGCGTGTTCCCCATACAACACATCAGACGCAGCCTGTTTAGTTTAGTGACCGAGGCTGATAACAAGTTCAGATGTGTGCTTGCCGTATATAAAATTTAATTTAATTATTTTTTAAAAGGAGCACAAAACTACATTTTATTCACAGAAGGGTGAAGAGTTTGGGGAAGGAAGGAGAAGTGAACAATCTAGGACAACATAGCTGAACTGGAAACATTCTCCAATTCAGCTCACTTTCCAGTTCAGCTATGTTGTCCTAGATTGTTCACTTCTCCTGCCTTCTCCAAACTCTTCACCCTTTGTGAATAACTCTGTTAATATCCAAATATTTGCCTATCTTCCTGTTGTTCGCCTTCAAATGAAGAACTATTTACTTATTTTTCCATAGTTTATCAAATCAATTTTTTACATATACAGTAATACCTTGGTTTACAAGTAACTTGGTTTGAGAGTGTTTTGCAAGACAAGCAAACATTTCTGAAAAATTTTGCCTTGATATACAAGCAATGTCTTGCAATAAGAGCAAAATTTTGTAGAAAAGCACCACCCGAATAAGGCTGTAGCAGTGCGAGCAATGAGTCTGTTTAACGACAATGCAATGTCACATTGGATAGATTCCTTGTTAAGGTTTCACGAAATGAAAAAAAGATTCCATTGAGCCGAGAGATAGCAGTGATTCCGTTAGTGATAGTGAAAGTCGCCCTACACAATAATCCTCCTCTCTCTTGTCCCCGTCACACCGGCCACAAAAGGTACCTGTAATTGGTTTATTTTTCTTTACATTTTGTACAGTATTATTATATTACAGTACAGTATTGTAATAATTTTTATATGAATAGTTTTGGGTTGTGGAATGAATCGAATCATCTGAATTTCCATTATTTCCAATGGTGAAATTTGCTTTGATATACAAGCGCTTTGGATTACAAGCATGCTTCCGGAACGAATTATGCTCATAAACCAAGATATTACTGTATATGAATGTAATTATAAACAATACTATTAATAATCTTTAGTAGAAGACCTTGTTCCTATATTTTGTTAGTAATTACATATGTACTATAGGAGTATAGAGAAATGGCAGATCTGGGAACACGATAGATCCCCCTTTTATTCTCTATACTCCTATAGTGTAATTCTGAGTGGGCGCAGTGTTTCCTTCACTCTGTAGCGGGTGTTACGCATATATACCATTTATGTTCATTACATAGGTACCTGGGGGCAGCCATACTTGTTTATCATATATGCAGGCTCTGCTTCCTACTCAGTGATGTCCATTCTAATCTATACTGTTTATGCTCAATGCAGCCAACATGACCTAAGGGACAACACTCTATAAAAGACTGAGTTTATCTCAACAGTAATTAAGGTGGAACTCCAGCCCAAAATGTTTTAAAGCTTTTGGTAGAGTGGAGAAGGGTCAGTACTGCCGCTAGGATTAAAACGCGTTAAGATATGTAGGTGATTACTTTCAGATTACTACATAAATGGTTACAGATGGCCTTTTACATTTGTCATGTAATGACAGCTCTGTTAACCCACAGGAAGGTTCTGGAATTGCAGTGGTACCACAATAAAGGATGAGCTGTCCTTTTGCTTTCAATGACTATTCCAATGATGGGGAACTGAGTCACTGACTCTCCAACAAGTATTCAGATCTGGACCTCTGACCTCTTTCAGTTGCTGCAAGCTTGCTCTGGGTCAGAACACAGCGAAGACTATGGACTAGCATGAACGCCAAGCGATTTGCATTTTCCGCATGCTCAGCAATGGCGATCCTTCCATATCTCTTTCAGAGCAGATCCCTTATTCTCTTATGACCAGATATGGAAATGATCACGGCAGACGAAAGACATGACGGTGAGCTGACTTGGTGCAGCTTATCCAGACACAACAGTGAATGGAGCTGCAGAGATTCATTCACATGCATAGCTCACACTGTCAGGAAAACACAGTCGGCGTCTGCGGGGAGAAGGTGAATGAAAATAGCCACAGGATTACCCAACACTGACAGCAGCTTATAATAAGCATCTCCCTATCTGCAGCCTAGGAGAAAATGATCTGCTTCCAGGCAGGTAGGAAGGACAGGCAATATTTTTCTTTTAAATTATAAAATTTTCATGGTGTTTAGGAGGAGTGGTTTGTAAGCCCCATTTACCCATTGTGGCCCTACAACCTTTATCTATGGCCACCATGATGTGCTTTGGTTGTAGAAGAGTTTGGTGTGACTCAAAGTACAAACATACAGGTTATAGTCAGGAGGACGAATAGGACCAAAGAAACCCTCCACAAACCGATACAAAAGTACAGTAGAGACCACTTTAAAAGGTTTCTAACCTCCATCACAACTCCCAAAATTTAGATATCTTTCTCATTTTAGGATAGTGGGCGGTGCTATCCAAGTAATTTCTTATGTGCCCCTGTGCATCCAGAAACATTGGTGTATAGAACAGATAAAGCCTACTATTATAGAGCCATATCGGCTTGTTGGACATCATCAGCATAGTGTATGGAAGCCATGACTTTGATGGAGTAGGACAGGGGTGCCCACAATTTTTCTGTGTTGAGATCTACTTTTCAAATGACGAGCGACAGGAGATCTACCAACGAAAAAAACCTCCCTCGGTCTCTCTCTCTTGGCTGTCTCTCCTCACTCTCCTGGCTGTCTCTCCTCACTGTCTCTTCTTGCTCTCTCCCCTAGCTGTCTCTCCTCGCTCTCTCTCTCCTAGCTGTCATTCCTCGTTTTCTCTCCTGGATGTCTCTCTTTGCTATCTCGTCTTGCTCTCTCCCCTGGCTGTCTCTCCTCGCTCTCTCTCTCGTCTGAGTGTCTCTCTTCCCTCCCCTGGCTGTCTCTCTTCTCTCTCCCCTGGCTGTCTCTCCTGGCGCTCTCTCCCCTGGCTGTCTCTCCTCACTCTCTCCCCTGGCTCACCTTGCTGTATTTTGCAATAGGCTGTGTAAACTAATATTATTTGATGTAATACATAGCACTTCAACCACCAGTATCCACCAGAAAGGAGTTAGGGAGCTTGGCTTAGCAGACTCAGGCTAATA